TGTATATGCCTAATACAAACTTATTGCTAAAGCAGTTTGGCTATGTGATGTGCCTACTCTATACATTAAAAACTGTTTAGAACTCCTGTGTCCCATAGCGAAACTGCTCCAAATTTTGATGCTCCAGTTTTGATAAATTCCCCTCTTCCCAGGAAGGAGGGGGAGAGAGAGAGAGAGAGAGAGAGAGAGAGATGAAAGGAAGGCTAACCCTTTCCCTCTTTAAGGCTGCATTCACACTTGAATATTTTTTAGCTTGAAGCTTGAAGCTCCAAAAATGCTCAAACTGAAATCAATTGTTCTTTATGGTGCCTGTTCGTGCGGTCAGGTACCATAGAGAACAATTGATTTTTTAAGTTTGAACTTTTTTGGAGCTTCGAGCTTCAAGCTACAAAATTCTCAAGTGTGAATGCAGCCTGGAACAAGGTTTTGAACTCCCATGGTAGGTACATTATTTTACTGAGTCAACAGCAGAGAGGAACTATTTTTAAGGGCTTGGTAGCCCACTTTTATTTTAAAAAAAAGTTCATAAACGAATGATTTCCCATGCAGGGGATCTTCTCCAACTTCAACAAAAACCCATGCACTGGATAATTGCCGAGCCACTTGACCCTCAAGCTCACTCAGTGTTTTGCGTGGGCACGAGAGCCCATTCATTTGAATGGACACCCGTGCCCCGTGACACGCAGAGAAGAAGTCCCTGCACTTCTTCCAAAAACGCATCCCACACAGGAACCTCAGTTCCCAGTACAGTTGCGATTTCCAGTGTGGGCGGTGTGCCATTAAAACTAATGGCACCCACTCGCGGTTCCACATTTCTCCATGCGGGTGGTGCGGCTGCACAGATTTTTCGTGTGGATCCGCAGCGGCAGCACTCGCACACATGTGAACCTAGCCTAAATGTTCTGATCCAGAGATGCAGAATACAGAGAAAGCCAAATCCACAGCTTTCTCTGCCCAGAAACACTAGTCTGGAACGTTCCATTCACCCTAAATGCAAACCCTGTGTCACATTTTCCTCTCTTCTCACAGTGACGTGGTCTTGTCCTTTTGCTAATATATATATATATATATATATATGTATTTATTTATTTATATATAAATCAAGTCCAGTCATTCGATGGTATTGTATTGAAGCAACAGATTTATTGGTTGTTTCAACAAGGCACTGCTTGTCTTTCTCAAGACACTAAACAAATGTGACACACATGCATTTAAAACCTACACCATACCCTGTCCTACACCCCTGAAAAATAAAAATTACAAACTACAAAAACAAGATACAATGCCAATGTGAGGAACAACAAGTACCAGCTGGCCTCAGCATGGTACTAATTAGGGATGAGCCAAACTGCTCTGATTTCAGCTCGAACAGGATACAGAAAACCCAAACTCATAGGATCCAAATCTGTCAAGTTAAAAAATTCCATATTCTGGGCTAGTAGGCAACTGGGTGTTAAAAAAAAAAAAAAAAGTGTAGTAGTCACTGCCTGGGGGAACATGCACCAATGCAAAAACAATTTTGTAAAAATTCTATTTTGCCAGGAGCAGTCATTTTTTTTTAGTACTTAAAGTGGTTGTAAACCTCAGTCATGAAATCTGAACAAAGCACATATATCTGTAGTGTGGTGTCTATCTCCAAAGCTCTGAGTTTCGTTTCTCTCTGTCGCTTGAATCCTCTGTTATCAGCATGGTTTTCCCAACACATGAGATAAAATTGAGCTCAGCACACAAACTTATCTACTCACAACACAGCTCTCCCATTTGTGAAGGGGGGGTGTGTCAGTTTCCTCCAATCAGCTCTCACACGATGTACTCATTCTGTAATTGCAGCTCTCCACCTCTTCCTCTGTGATAAGGACAGAACAAACAGGATTTTAGCACAATTCAGCCTCTTTGAACATGCAGTTTTGTTCAGAAGAATAGCAGTCAGACATCACTAACCTGATCAATCACTGTTTTTGGTAGAAATGATATTTCTACATGGCAAATAATTTACTAGCAGGTGTAGTAGAGTAATAGAAATCCAACAGACCCAACAGTCATGACATGCATGCTGCTGATTCTGTGTAATTGAATCACTAATTGAAAGGGGCATGTTCAAAATAATAGCAATGTGGAGTTCTATTAGTGAGGTCATTCATTCTTTGAAAAACAGGTGGCAATTATTGCCCTTGTTTAAGGAAGGAAGGCAGCAAATGTTGTACATGCTGGTTACAGTGCATTTCTCTCTGAAATTCTGAGGACAATGGGTCGTTCCAGACATTGTTCAGAAGAACAGTGTACCTTGATTAAAAAGTTGATTGGAGAGGGGAAAACATATAAAGAAGTGCAGAAAATGATAGGCTGCTCAGCTAAAATGATCGCAAATGCTTTAAAATGGCAACCGAAACCTGAAAGGCGTGGAAGAAAGTGAAAAACTACCATTGGAATGGATAGAAGAATAGCCAAAATGGCAAGGACTCAGCCAACAATCAGCTCCAGGAAGATCAAAGAAGGTCTAAAGTTACCTGTGAGTACTGTTGCAATTAGAAGACGCCTATGTGAAAGCCAAGATATCTGCAAGAAGCCCCTGCAAAGTATTACTGTTGAAAAAAAGACATGTGCTGAAGAGGATACAATTTGCCAAAGAGCACATTGACTGGCCTAAAGAAAAATGGCACAACATTTTGTGGACTGATGAAAGGAAGGTGGTTCTCTTTGGGTCTAGTGGCCGGAGATAGTTTGTCAGACGACCCCCAAACACTGAATTGAAGCCACAGTACACTGTGAAGACAGTGAAGCATAGTTGCGCAAGCATCATGATATGGGGATGTTTCTCATACTACGGTGTTGGGCCTATTTATCGCATACCAGGGATCATGGATCAGTTTGAATACATCAGAATACTTGAAGAGGTCATGCTGCCTTATGCTGAAGAGGAAATGCCCTTGAAATGGGTGTTCCAACAAGACAACGACCCCAAACACACCAGTAAACGTGCAACATCTTGGTTCCAGACCAACAAGATTGACATTATGGAGTGGCCAGCCCAAGCCCCGGATCTTAATCCAATAGAAAATTTGTGGGGTGACATAAAAAATTTAGTTTCTGAGGCAAAACCAAGAAATAGAGAAGAACTGTGGAATGTAGTCCAATCATCCTGGCCTGGAATACCTGTTCACAGGTGCCAGAAGTTGGTTGACTCCATGCAACACAGATGTACAGCAGTTCTTAGAAACAGTGGTTATATAACTAAATATTAATTAAGTGATTCAAAGGAAAGCAAAATCTTCAAACATTTTTCAGTTTATGAGGAAAGAAAAAACAGAGGGCGCACAGGCCTAGTGTATTACCATAAAAAAAAATTTTAATAAAAAATAAAGTAGGTGTTGTACTCACAAATGACAATATAGTCAAGGCACATCATAAAGAACAGCTGGGTCAACACCGCGCTGAGTAACAGTCTGCAATAGGGAGTGCAGACATCCAATAGGCTGATGCGTTTCGAGGACTTGCCTCTTCCTCAGAGCCAACTGACCAAATGTCTGCTCCCTCTTTTATATGCTCACTACTAGTTGAACCAAAGGTCACATGGGCCATCCTGGAAACTCCCCTACGCAGGTGGAGTCACAGGGGCAATTGACATAGTATAAGTAAACACAAAAGATCTACAAACACATATATAAATATATATGTATAAATAAAACCATTGAAACTAGTGACAATCATAAAATCATATGAACCATCAGAAGTGTGTAAATGAAAAATAAATAAGTAGAAAATTACACATATATATTAAATATTAAAAAATCCTTCCCTGGTGATGCACTGCACTGCTCGCCTTTAAATTAATGGATGGATGGATGAACGACGCTACGAAGCTGCCTAGTGCTCTGCTTGCCATAGACAACCAGGGGGCATGGATTTAATGTACAGCAGTTCTCAGAAACAGTGGTTATATAACTAAATATTAATTGATTCAAAGGAAAGCAAAATCTTCAAACATTTTTCAGTTTATATAGTGAATGTTTGAGTTTGTAAAGAAGAATACAAACACTGCTATTTTTTTGAACAGTCTAATATTCACTTTTCTTCAATTTTTTTTAGAGGAACAACACAAATTTGATATACCGTATTTTTCTTCATGTTTTGATTTGGAATAGAATGTGTAGTGTTCCCAATGCATTTGTGTGTATGGAAATAAAAGCTATTAGAAGGATTTTGAGCTTTATTCACTTTTTTCAACACACCGCTATTATTTTGAACACAACTGTATGTACAGAAGAGAAGACTGCAGATAAACAAGTAAAACTTATGTAGGAGGATATGTTTCATCTCTGTGTATCATATGAAGCCAGTCATTTGGTCACTATATTTGAGGATTTACAACCACTTTAAAGAATACAATGTGTAAACCCAACATTTCATATTCCTGATATGTGCCTGCTGTACCATGTACTTGAATGAAAAAGTATCCTGTTCTCTTCCTTTGTTATAAATCCATGGTGTTTCTGCCAGTCCCTCTGCTTTCCTATTAAAAACTGACCACACTGAGCAGGAGAGCACAGCATGGTCAGTTCTCTAGCTATGCTGGGAAATCAGCCTGCTCTGCTCCAATGATCAGAATTGTCCTGACACCCCCTTGCACTGCCTCCCCCAGCTCTAATGCCGCTGAAAAGAGAGGGTATGTGAACACTTACAAAAAAGGAAAAAGTTTTTATATATCTATACACAAATATTTTGCCTTTCACTTTTATTCCAAACTGAATGGGTTGTTTTACAAGGTGAGGTTTTACAATCACTTTAAAGTGAAACATTATAGTGTTACTAAACCCACAACAGTAAAACCAGTGTGTATATGCAGTAACACATGCTTGTTATACTCACTGTGGAACCTAAGGGGTTAATTCTCAGCATTGTGTAAAATTGCGGTTTTATCATGACTTATCTGATCCTCCCCTTCTTTCAGTGTCCCCCTCTTATCTACTGATAGGACATATCATGTGGAGACACTCTGCACATGCTCAGATTGGTTTGTATTGCTAAAGAGTTTTTTTTTTTCTTGGGAGAGTGCATGTGATCAGCACAGGGCCAATCAGCTTTGCCCAGACAAAGTGTCAGGCATTATGCAGCCACATAGGTCAGAAGAGAATTAAAACTCCTCCTACAAGCTTTGACCAGTGCTCTGCTGGACACTGATAGAAGTCACAAGACTGCTCTAACTGCTGATGAGAAAAAGGTATTTAGCAGTTTATATTTATTAAAATATATGTAGTTCTATGTACTGTGTAAACCAGATATAGTGAATGCAGAGCCCTGTGTTTAACACTTTAAAAATGCCCAATTCCTAAATAACATGTATGGGGGTGTTCTAACCTTGGTTGTGAAAAGTTTTGCGTCTCTGTGATGTACAGAAAATGCTAGAGCAGGACAGATATTTACAAAGGAAAAAATAGTTTAAAATTGTTGGCAAATGACATTTCATTCCCAGTTTCTGGGAAAAAAGCACACAGACTACCCCAAGGGTCTGCTACATATTGTGGATTACTTTTTGAGGAGTCTGTGTGCTTTTTTTTAACAAGCTGGCAATTAATTTTATTTGCCAGCTATTTAAAGTGTATAATTTTTTTCTGCGTAAATGTCACTTTTCACTGCCATCTATCCTACAGCTAGAATTAAAAAAACAATACATAGAGTACTTACCAAAATGCATACCAGACACTATGGGGTTTATTTACTAAAGCTGGAGAGTCCAAAATCAGACTCCCTTCTGCATAGAAACCAATCAGCTTCTAACCTCAGCTTGTTCAATGAAGCTTTGGCAATGAAACCTGGAAGCTGATTGGTTTCTATGCAGAAGGGAGTCTGATTTTGGACTCTCCAGCTTTAGTAAATAAACCCCTATGAGTTTGGTACAAATTTTAAAGGGGTACCTTAAGCAAGCAAAAGAGAACAAAATGTGTGAGGCCCATCTAAAAGTCCATACAAGACCCTTAATCTGAGTATACAGCCCTGAGCCCCCCCCCCCCCCCCCCCCCCCCCCCCCCCCCCCCCCCCCCGAACTATACCAGGTCATATGGGGGATTTTCCCTGACAAAGCACCTTGTCCCTATGATGATAAGGACAACAGTCTAGAAATAAATGCAAGATGTGTGACAAGTCCTTTTTAAAAAAAAAAAAAAATCAACCCAAAATGTCCTTCAATGTAAATCCATTGTCAATCACAATGCCCGCCACTTACTGACTTGCCAAGAAAATAAAACCAATGACCCAGTGCACACAATCATCCTGATGGTATGGATAGCTGAATGACAGTTTCCAAAGCTGCCATCAGATATACAGTATAAGCAAAGGGTAGGGGATGGTGGTGACATCATTCAGCAAATATGGTCAATATTCGGCTATATTTGGGCAGTGATGTCACTATTATCACCACCTCATTGCTTGGGTGGGATTCCTGGTGACATCAGTGGTTCCTAGGAATGTGACAGGTTCAAGCACCAACGGCTTCCTTAGGAACCAGTGACAGCAGGCAGCAGGAAAAAGTGAAATTAAAAACAAGAAAAACCTACTAGACAAGTAGCAAATGTCTTGCAGTGTCAGTGCCTAATAGAAGTGAGCCCACATCTGTAGCCAACTCCAAAAAAGTAAATGAATCAGTGTGTAGGAAATGTGTACAAAACGTATGTATTCCACTACCACCACCACCGTAGAACAGCAAATATCAAAAGCATTAGACAATCCTTCACATGGTCTAGATTTTTGTTCTCTGCCAAGCAATATCTAGTAACCATTAACCACATTCAACTGAACTTGTTCTGTAATATTATAGATGTTTTGTAGCTTACCAAGCCACTTCATCAGTTCTTGGTGTATCAGGAAGATACCCTGATATTTATATTCATACCTTGGGACACCTTAATTCAATCCCAATGAATATGTACAGTATATGTCAATTGTCCAAGAGCAGAGTGGGGGGGTGTGAAAGCTGGGGTTCTATCCTGTCCCAGTTACATAACCCCATTGTTGGTTTCAGGAACCTGTTAGTTTTATGATTATCATGGCTAAAGGTGTGAATTGTCAAAACACCGGTGGAGAGGTGTTACAGCAGCATTAAATGTGGAAGAAAGATGGTAATAAAGCCCCCCTGAACCCCTGTTCAGAAATGGTTGTTCCAGATAGGTAGCCTCATTCCTCTTGTGAATCATTTGTCCTCTCTATTCAAAAAGTCTTGGCCAGTAGCATTTGCCTTCTTATGTTGGGCCATTTGTTTGAGCCATTTGTTTGCTGAGAGGTTGTTTTGTCTCCCCAATGTACAGGTCTTTGTATTCCTTGAGATATCCCAGCATTTATATTCTCTCCTTAATCTGTCTCAAACTGCCTGTCTCTGAATCTAAATCTCCTTGTATTGTGGGTTTGGAAAAAGGTTGTGAGTTTGGGTTAAGGTGTCCTAAAATGTAAATGCTGAGGTATCTTCCTGACACTCCAGAAAGTGAAGGAATAAGTAGTAAGGCTTGGTAAGCTACAAAATATCTTCAACATTTCAGAACAAGTCCAGTTGAATGTGACTAACTACTAATAGATATAACATGACCTGGTTAAATGAGAACCTTCTTTCTGTCAGGCAATGTTTACTTTTAATGTTCTACCTGGAATCTGTGCTGCAGTGCCTCCATTGAGATCAACAGAAGTGCCCAACTTAGCTCTCCAACTGACTTCTGTAGAACATGTAGGGTCTATGCACACTGGCTTAAAGAAAGGATGCTCCTAAACGAGTTTAGTCTTTTGCTTGCAGAAGCAATTAATGTTATCCTTTGTGTCCGTACACATTAGGTCATTTAGAGGCATATTGTAAATTTAAAAAGAAAATTTCTGTTTTGCGTTTTTGAGAGCTGATTTCTGACAGAAGAAAAAATGCTGCATGCTCCTAAACACTGCTAAATGCTCTTAAATACTAGTACAAAAAACATTAGTGTTTTTTTTTTTCTGCCAAGAGCACTGGCGTTTCTTTAAGCCAGATGCATGGACCCTTATATAGTATTTAAGGCTTTCATTAAAAAAATACTAGGTACTCCTGTCATGAAATTCATTGTTCAGGTTTTTCTTGTGGTAGGCTGACAATGTTCTGCTCCTGTCTTTCAATTGTGCTCCTGCCTTGTCACCCTGTCAAGATAAGCTTTTGAATTATTATTACAGTTAGCTTTCTTCTTAAGGCATGGTTTCATCCAAATGACAAATAATACTTACAATATATACCTTTATACACAAGAACAGTGGACATCAAAGAATGCAGATTGAAGAGACTTAGATTGGGAGACCGAGGTACAGGACGAAATGGCAACTGTTTATTATACAAAGTGCTTTAGCACAATAAATGTCACTCAGGTAGGATTTACCTCTAATTTAAATTAAAATGTATGGCTACCCTAATTCAGAATAGTATGGTAATGTTTTCTCAATAGCATTTGTAGTTCGTATTGCCTGAATAGAGAAATTGCAGCATATATATTATATTCTTTACAAGCCACTTCTTTATGCATGATTTGAAAAATAAAGAGAGTTGTAAGTAGATGAAAAATGATCAATATACCCCTCCGTGCTATGAACACAAAAAAAATGCACCACCCAAAAATGTGTAAATATGCAGCTGCTGCTGTATATCTATGACAGAACCCTCAAAGTGAATATCAAATGAACAAAATACAGCGCTAAATAAATACACCACTACTAGCATCATCCACTCTTCTAAATAAGTGTATATACACTGCTCAAAAAAATGAAAGGAACACTTTTTAATCAGAGTATAGCATCAAGTCAATTAAGCTCCTGGGATATTAATCTGGTCAGTTAAGTAGCAGAGGGGTTGTTAATCAGTTTCGGCTGCTTTGGTGTTAATGAAATTAACAACACATGCACTAGATGGGCAACAATGAGATGACCCCCAAAACAGGAATGGTTTTACAAGTGGAGACCACTGACTTTTTTTCCCCTACTCATCTTTTCTGACTGTTTTTCACTAGTTTGCATTTGGCTAGGGTCAGTGTCACTACTGGTAGCATGAGGCAATACCTGGACCCTACAGAGGTTGCACAGGCAGTCCAACTCCTCCAGGATGGCGCATCAATACGTGCCATTGCCAGAAGCTTTGCTGTAACTCCCAGTACAGTCTCAAGAGCATGAAGGGGATTCCAGGAGACAGACAGTTACTCTAGGAGAGCTGGATAGGACCGTAGAAGGTCCTTAACCCATCAGCAGGACCAGTATCTGCTCTTTTGTGCAAGGAGGAACAGGATGAGCACTGCCAGAGCCCTACAAAATCACCTCCAGAAGGCCACTGGTGTGAATGTCTCTGACGAAACAATCAGAAACAGACTTCATGAGGGTGGCCTGAGGGCCCAACATCCTCAAGTGCACCCTGTGCTCACTGCCTGGCACCATAGAGCTTGATTGGCATTTGCCATTGAACACCAGAATTGGCAGGTCCGCCACTGGCACTCTGTGCTTTTCACAGATGAGAGCAGGTTCACCCTGAGCACATGTGACAGACATAAAAAGGGTCTGGAGAAGGGGTGGAAAATGTTATGCTGCCTGTAACCGTTCAGTATGACCGTTTTGGTGGTGGGCCAGTGATGATCTGGGGAGGCATATCCATGGAAGGACACACAGACCTCTACAGGCTAGACAATGGCATTAGGTATCGGGATGAAATACTTGGACCCATTGTCAGACCCTGCGCTGGTGCAGCGGGTCCTAGGTTTCTCCTGGTGCACGACTATGTCTGGCCTCATGTGGTGAAAGTATGCAGGCATTTCCTGGAGGATGAAGTAATTGATACCATTGAATGGCCCCGATGCTTGCCTGACCTAAATCCAATAGAACACCTCTGGGATATCATGTTTCAGTCATCCGACGATGCCAGGTTGCACCTCAGACTGTCCAGGATCTGTCATTGTCAGGCATACATACAAGCATGTGGGGGCCATATAAACTACTGAGGAGCTCAGTGATTCCCTGGTCAAGATCTAGGAGGAAATACTCCAGGACACTATCCGGTGTCTCATTAGGAGCATGCCCCGATGTTGTCAAGCATGCATACAAGCACGTTGGGGCCATACAAACTACTGAGTACCATTTTGAGTT